AAGTTGCAGGAGATGCTGTAGCTGCTGCTCTTGAGTCCCAGCCATCTAGTTTAGCTCCCCATCCGGGGGCTACTGTCAGTGGTGCGGCATAGTCGCAGAAACAGGTCTGCAATTAACATATCACTGAGACCCTGTTAGAGCATTTGTTTGCCCTAGATAATATTTCTAGGGAGTTCACTATTATTTGGAGCTGATCCTAGTTTTGCCATGATGTGTTCGTCGGAGCAAGTCCGCATTTACACACTACTGAGGCCCTGTTAGGGTATTTGTATGGCAGCCATAATATGTGGGGGGAGATTGAAGGAGAGCCGCTTTATTTACTCAGACAACTGATAAGTTGATCAAACCGCAGCTTCATTCACGCAGTTGATTAGAGTTAGCACACATATGCAAAACAAACCCTAGCATCAGTGTAGGAAAGCAACTTTATATATATATATATATATATATATATATATATATATATATATATATATATATATATATATATATATATATATATATATATATATATACACGTACGCACGTGCACTCCACACATGCATGCATGCACACACACCCAAACATGCAAACAATTCCAAGCACGCATGCACACACACACACATATCTCTATGCTTGTGTGTGAGTGGGCATGGGTGGTTGGGTGTGTCTGCTGTGTGTTGTGCTTTCTCTCTAATATCAGCTTGACCCCACAGTGACATGAAGAATCAGGTAGTGTATGTCAAGGCAATAAGAAGTAAATTCAGATTTCCCTGTTCAACTTTAAACAATGGCTTTTATTAGTGACTTCATGGGAATGACTTATGATGGCAGGAGAAATGTAGTTAAGTAAATCTACTTGCTAAATGATATGATAGAATCACTAATGTAGAGCTTTGGAAGAGAACTAAGCAAACTTCAGTGGACCAAGAGGTCAAGACGCTGGCACTGGTTAGAACCCACATTGAGAAAACTGGAGAACAATATAACTAGAATGTCTTTACAATGGAACCCCCAGGGGCAAAGGAATAAAGGAAGGCCACAAAACACATGGAGAAGGAAGCTGGAGAATGAAGTTAGCAAATGTGGAGAGCTGAAAAGAGGAAAAGATACAACGACTTGGGTGAGTTGGTTGAGGGCTGATGTTGCACTGGGGGCTAGAAAGGCAGAAGAAGAAGAAATTTACAAGAGCAAAATTTATGTCTACTGACACTTGGAAGTGTGCTGATTAGTGTGTAACTCAGATAGCACACAACAATGCCCTATACGCCTAAAGGCGTGGAAAAGGGACCTTTACTTCACTTTTTACTTCCATCCTTCAAGAAACTGGAGATCCATAAAGAGCCCACCAAGTAATAAAATCCTGTTAGTCAAGTGTGGGTAAGGGCAATAAATTAAAAGAAATTTGTCAGTCAAGTGAGTGACATTAAACCCCAGCAGGACTGCACACTGAGGGATAAACACCTGGTGATACAAAGTGCCACCATTCAGATGAGAATCACCCGGCACGAGTCCCAGAAACCCTGTTTAACTGTTAGGTTATATTAGGGCCCCCGACAACAGCTGGGGTGGGGCTTTAGAAAAACATTATGGCCAAATGAAGAACTGAGGAGGAAAACAGAATGTGCATCACTGGCAAATGTTGTCAAAGTAAGACGATGGAGATGGCTTGGACATGTTTGCAGAATGCTCAAACAGCTCTCTGATGGACAGCAGATGGGAAAAGGAGACGTGGATGCCCTAAGGAAACCTGGAGAAGGACAACAGAACAGGAAATGAAGGAATGTAAACTGACATGGAATACCATGGGTAGAAAAGCAGCAGACCGGCAGCAACGGAGATCACTTGTGAATACCTTATGTGTCAACAGCGACATGAAGAGGATATAGATATATAGATGGGGTGGAACTGTATGTAATTCTTTAATCGATTGATTGATTGATTGATGTTCAACCCCACCAGGACATCACACTGAATGATAAACATCCGGTGACACAAAGTGCCACTATAAGGGTGAGGATCACCTGGGGACAGGTCACAGAAACCACTTTCAAACCATAAGTTGAAAGGGTTATATCAGGGACCCTGGAAACAACCAGAGTAGAGCTTCAAATAACGCACACACAAAAACTGTCCCATATAATGAGGGATTAGTTAAAATTTGTTAAATCTCTCTTTTTCTCTTTGCATCCCATATGGGAACGAGTATATTGTTAAATGGGTAGGTAGGTAGCTGTACCCCACCAGGACATCACAAAAGCGATAAACACCCGGTGACACAAAGATCACTCCTGGAGATGCCCCAGAAACCCCTTTTAGTCTTTAGGTGATATTTATGACCCGGCTATATTCAGGGCCCCTGGCAAAAGCCAGGGTGAGGTTTCAAGCAAAAAATTGCATCCCACATGGGGAAGACTTTTTGTAGTCATATAGTTAAATCAAGCAAGATTACCTAAACTCGTCTGTTAAATATTTACAGATTATTATTATTACTAATTAAAATTTAGAATGACATAATGAACCCAAAAAAAAATCCCAGATTAAATCAAGCGACATAATTACCTAACTAAATCCATTAAACATTTATTGACAATTTTAAAGTAACACAAACTAAATGAAGATTACTAATTATTAGAAGAAAAAAAAAAACAGCATTACCAAGAATGTTTTCTGGCTTTTTCAAGGGTGGACAACCCAAATTATCTTTCCCGCAAATGTCAGCCAGTCTGATAGGTTCCCCTGATCTCTTGATGTCTGCATTCAGGTAGTAGTCATCAGGCATGAAGGAAAAAGTCTTAAAGGCATCTGTGTAGCGGGTTCCCCAATAGAAGCCCCGTTCTTCAGGGTTGGGTTCTTGTGGGTGATCAAAGTACATGTGGGTCACAGGTGAGAACACTACCTGAAAAAGACATGTTTGAATCATGTTTTCAAGTTCCCTGTGTGGATTATGGAGTCCTATTTAGTTTAAAGAAAAATGTGTAGACCCAGCATTTTCTGGTACCAATATGCAGAGACACTTCGTGTTTCCTACACAGAAATACTTGAATATCTATTAGTCGGCGTCTGTTGGTTTCGACAGTGGTATCGAGAAGCCGACTGTCCAGAAAGCAGTGGCAAACTACTGGACGTTTATTTGCCTAGAAAAACCACAACAGCTAAAAAATGCTGTGGTTGGTTCTGCAACGTCCTGTAAAGGATACTCAACAACCGTATATACTCACATACCAACCCCCCCACCCCACTCACCCTTCCCCCAAACAAGCATACCGTAAAAGCCCACTAATTTGGGGTGTTTCCTTGAGTTGGAGTGCATCGAACTCAGATGCAAAGTCTGCGTAAAAATAAGCCAGATCTGTAAAACAGATGTGCTGTGCATGCAAAACTCAAGCTGTCTAACAAGACCAAATTCCAGAAGTGAAAGACCAACCAGAATTTTCTGCTAGAGTTTACAGATGATGAATATTAAGAAGAAGAAGTACCCTGAGTGCTGTAATGTTGGTTTATAACTCACCTAGCCTCAAGTGAGTGAAAAAAAAAATTTTTTTTTTCACATCTTGAGATATATAGCTAAAGCTTCTTTTCTAGACAAAAGGTGACGGTGCTCACCACAAAGTGTCTGTTATAGTAGCTTAAAAACAAATGATGCCTTTGAAAAAAAAAAATGCCAGTGCTGCTAGTGCGTACTATAAAAAAAAAAAAAAAAATAAACCTTCTGGTCGCAACCTTCTAGTCATAACTCGATAATTGTAAAGACCACAAAGCACTTGACGGTTGTATGGTACATCACTCTGACCATCTTTACTTCCTTATAGTTTTTCTTATCTGCTGATCCACTGAACATATAAAAATGGTCTGGCATCATTTAGCTGCTGACCACATCAACCATCTTGTGCCGTTGGTCTATAAAAATATAGGTCTAGCCCTATATGCCCTATACGCCTAAAGGCGTGGAAAGGGCCCTTTACTTTTTTTTTAACTTTTTATCATTTAGCTAAATCCCAGTATGGGTTTCAAGGCCTCATTTCGTAGACGAAAGAGAATACTTCCACTGCATGTTATATGAGGAGACTGTCTAATTAGTGGTGTTTCTATCAAGTGCAGATGCCTGAGAGGTGAGAAACCAACAATCTGTATACAAATAAACTAGATCTGGCAAACAGATGTGCATGTATACTCACGTTCTGGAATAAGACTAACTAAAATCAAGAAATGGACAAACAAGCATAACTTTCCACTAGAGTTGACAATCCAGTGCATTCAACAACAACAACAACAACAACAACAAAAAAGAGGATGTCTGCATGCACACACACAAAACATTCTCTTCCAAAGAAGAGAAAGCAATCCTCTGTTTGATTCTAATTTATATAAATTTTAATAAGTTCTTCAGTATAACTATAAAAAATTAAGGGGTCTGTGGCAGACCTCTGAAAATAAGAGCAGTCAATAGATCTTGGCTAGCTGAGAACCGCTATCCTAGAACATTGCTTGGCACTTAAGATCACGGGTAATGAGCATACTTTGGATCTTTTCTCCAGGCCATGCCGGCATAGTGGGTAATGAACAGGCAGACAGATTGACTGGATCGTCACCAGTGGGTTGTGAATTGATACATGACAAGGCAGATGTGGTTAAGGCCCTTTGGGAACAAGCAGCAGAATCAGTTGTAAAACAAGACTATTATGGCCTGTATAGAATGAGACACCTGGGTGTAACCAGAGGGTCTGGCCGGCTCACTAAACTCAGAGAAAGGCAAGACGAACATCTGTGCTAGCAGCTGAAGATGAGGACGGAGCACCCACTGGAATGCCCTTAGTGCTGTGATGTCAGTTCTTGACTTGACTCAACTCAACTGCTTAGCACTTATTTTTTGGTTTGATCAATATGGCAGACCAGGTCAGTTTTAACAATCAGCCTTAATGGATATTTGAACTTATTGTTACTGGGCTGACAGAATAAACAGATCAACAAACAAACACGAGAATCATTCGCAACCTAAGGCACAACAACAGTTGTGTCACCTTGTAGCCTGCATTTGCCAGATTGTATGCTCTTGAGGCCACTCCCCACTCCCAGACATTCTGCCAAGATTGAACTATGACATCCTTATTAGCCAGCAGAGATCTGCAATTGACAAGACACACTTTAATGGATGCATGCATTTTATTTTGACACATTATCACACCAAAATATATTTAAACCATACATTTTTTTCATAGAAAATATATTTGGCTTTAAAAGTGCTAAATTTGAATGTAGATGGATTCAGAAGAAACTGATCTCTCTTATCAATGTTTGTTTTAGGATTTTTCTTGGACATTGTCACCTTATATTCTTTTTATTTCCTCTTCCAGTGTCTGTTCAGTGATTCTCTGCTCAGTTCAACTCAGGATCTGTCCTATGTAGCACCATGTTATTTGTTATATAACTGTTGATACCATTGGCTATTCAGATATTTCTCTTTTTTCTTTTCTTTTCTTGACTTCATCCCATTAAATATAGCCCATGTCGGGGGCCATGTTAGCACAGTCGATAGGAGACTTGCTTTCAAATCCAGCTGCGACTCGCTGCAGCTCACGGCTGAGGCTCAAAACCGGGCGGTTCCTGGGGTTCACCTAGCCTATAGGTAATGGGTACCAGAGTTAACACTCTGGGGTAAATGGAGGAATGTCGCTGTAGCTACGGAGTTGTGTGCGGACGGCGACACAGGCCGACAGTTTCTTACTGGTAGCAGAGCACTAACAGTTTATAACCTGTGTGCAACGACCTTGATTCACATTTCCCAACTTTATCTTTTAAATATAGACAAAATTTCATTCACCTCCATTTTTTCCTATTTTTCAAAACTGATTAATTTCTTCAACTATTTTTTTTTTCATTTCTAGTATCTCTAGAATCTCTGACCTTATAAAACCTTATATCAACATATCTGCACATACCCTAGGGCCTCAGTTCATCACTCTTATTGTTAGTTCATTGTACAAATGACTGCATCATGTTACTTCTATAAATTAACTATGAGTGCCGATCAATACACTTTATGTTACTTGAATTAATGCCTCATGTTATAATGTTGATTATGCATTTCCGTTAACAATTCTCATTTTACTGAGGTACTTTTCTCTCTGTATGCTAACCACCTCAGCATGTTGATCTTCTCTCTCTGACAATGGCATCTTTCACGTGGATGCCCTGGGATATTTTTTGCCACATTTATGAGAAGCATGTTTCAGACATAGCATCCTTTATGGTCATTACATTTGTACTTTTAATCTGATTTGATATATTTTCATAACCTTTTAAAAGTGTTACTAGAGTTATTGTTAGCAATGTTGACTGTTTTGACTGACTGACTTTTTACCCCACCAGGACATCACACAAGCGATAAACACCGGATGACACAAAGTGCCACCATGTGGATGAGGATCGCCATGGAGAGGTCCCAGAAACCGCGTTCAGACAATTGGCCATATTTATGGCCTGCCTATATTGCGGCCCCTGGCAAAAACCAAGGTGGGGCTTCAAATAACAAAAAATTTCGTCCTAAAAAAGACAAAACACCTATTGCTAGGTGATAAGAAGCGATTGACTCATCTATCAGAAAATGTTTACTGTTTTTTTGTGTGGTCTGACTGACTGACTTTCTACCCCACTAGGACATCACACAAGCGATAAACACCCGATGACACAAAGTGCCACCATGCGAATGAGGATCACCGTGGAGAGGTCCCAGAAACCGCGTTCAGACAACTGGCCATATTGATGGCCTGCCTATATTGCGGCCCCTGGCAAAAGCCAGAGTGGGGCTTCAAATAAGAAAAAATTACGTCCTGAAAAGGACGTAAGTAAGTAATACTTTGTGTGGTAAACTATTATCTAGGATTACCTGTACAAGATAAGAGACACTGATTATTTCTTAAACTATCTTTCTGTTCATTGCGATGTTGATACAAAGCTTTAAGGATTACATAATCAAGTGCCTAAAGTTAAAAAGAGATTGGAATAACAAGGCAAGAAACAATATTGCTAGGGCAAAGTTATGTTCTTCTCATTCTACACACAAATAAATAACACTCTGCTGTGGTGAGTATATGAAGAGTTGAGCCCCTTGGCATATAGTATTTAAAAAAATAAAGGGCCCTTTTTCCTTCAGTGGCACATTGAGCATATGAGACTGGACTTAAATTTTTAGAGACCAATTGGGCCTTCGAATGGGTGATGTGGTCAACATCATGCTGCCCACCTTTACTTTCCAGGACTTCCCCTGGACTTCACTATTTAAGGCTGGGTATAAAGGCTGGACATTGTCTTCGTCTCAAAGAAAAAACAGTTTTATCAAAGAACTACTATTTCTGGATCGAAACCCACTGCAGGCTGTTGTGTGGATTTTTATCGTGGTATAGGACGTCGCAGGTCGACCCAGCCTAAAATGGGTACCAGGATGGGCTGTACTGGGAAAGTAAAGACAGCCGGCGTAATGCTGACCACATTACCCACAGAGTGCTGATGGTTTGTAAAAATATGGGACGCTCTGCCCATATGCCCGATGCGCTGAAAGGCGTGAAAAGGGAACTTTTACTTACTATTTCTGGACAAGCAAGCACTAATTGTTACTTCAGAAATAGAACTGCAAGACCACATAGATGATTAAACCAAATATGTAAAGAGCGTCCTCTGAAAGTACTGGAGAGTTTTAGGAAATGCCATTCTGGCCTCAAGACAGTGAAGAGAAAACCCCAACTGCACCTCCACGCGGTAGAGGATGGTAAACACACTGCGGTGTGGCCAACGCAGCTATGGGGACCGAATATCCGCCGGGATAAGTGGACACCTCTGGGGTGCCCTCTGCTGTTAGCAGGAGCATCACAGAGCAGGGCACTCTTTGCCCTAACAATCTAAAAGGTTGCTGAATGCTGAGGCCGTAGTCTAAAGCCATGTGGATGTGGAAAGCAAGGGAAAACTACCACATTACTTATCATGGAAGCCAAAAATGAAACTCAAAGATATAATGGTGAGGCACCCAGGCCAGGTAGATCCCAAACATGAACTGGGGAAGAGAATGATGGCAGAGCAAGTAAGAGTACTTCTTGAGTATGAAAGTACATGAGGCGGGAGAGCTGGTGAGAGACCGAGTTTCTTTCAGGCAGACCGTAATGAGAGCAACGTTCTGCAAAGGACCTGCTACATGATGATGAAGATGTAAAGAGCATATTATGAAAATTATTGCAAACAAAACAAAACAGTGGTCATAACCACGAGGATGTGATGTTTTGATTAAGAACAATGAATATATTCACAGTTGGCCTGGCTCATCGTGTAACCTCTCACCTTTCCCAAGGTGTTGAATCATGATCCATCAAACCATCCTCCCATGCTGCCAGAGACACATTTTTGGTCATTGTTGCAACCCGTTGGGTGAACACACTCTTGAGGCTGACCCCTGACCTTAAAAGACTGGCACAGGCAGTAGAGTTAACCCAGGCACCTGAAGTAGGTAGAAAAATGTGTTATGCGACAGGTGGGTGGGTGGGTGGGTGTGTGTGTGTGTGTGTCTGTGTGTGTGTGAGTGTGTGTGTGTGTGTGTGTGTGCGTGTGTGTGTGTGTCTGTGTGTGTGTGTCCATGTGTGTGTGTCTGTGTGTGTGTCTGTATGTGCCTGTGTGCGTGTGCATGCAACGGTTAAGCCTGTGTGCGTGCCCTACCTCTGTGAATCATGTGTCTTGAAAGAAAAAACTGTTATTGAACCCCTCTAATGTGTCTGTGTCTGTGTGTGTCTGCCTGTCTCTGTGTGTGTGTGATGCACGCGTACGCGTGCGCTTACCCTCGTGACCTGTAAAAAAAGCAAAGCTGCCCTACCTTCCATTTCTTGAATCATTAAAAGAATATTAAAAAAACCAGTCATTTTACAAATCTTGAAAGAAAAACACATCATTTATGAACACCTCCTAATGGTTTGCCTTCCATACCACTGTTGAGACCAATGCAAGGTGGTCTGCTGCCAAATCACCTATTTTCTAGTTACAAACAAACATTGTGAGCCAGCTGCTATATGTGAGCCAGTGCTATATTCTAGTAACAAACATTGTGATTGTAGCCAGTGCTATATTCTAGTAAATAAACATTGTGATCCTTGTCAGTGCTATATTCTAGTATATAAACATTGTGATCCTTGACAGTGCTATATTCTAGTTACAAACATTGTGATTGTAGCCAGTGCTATATTCTAGTAAATAAACATTGTGATCCTTGACAGTGCTATATTCTAGTAACAAACATTGTGATTCTTGTCAGTGCTATATTCTAGTATATAAACATTGTGATCCTTGCCAGTGCTATATTCTAGTATATAAACATTGTGATTCTTGTCAGTGCTATATTCTAGTATATGCTTGTGATTGTTAGTACATATACATTGTGATTGTCAGCCTAGTGCTATATTCTTGTTTAGTATATTCTAGTATACAAACATTGTGATCCTTGCCAGTGCTATATTCTAGTATATAAACATTGTGATCCTTGTCAGTGCTATATTCTAGTATATAAACATTGTGATATTTGTCAGTGCTATATTCTAGTATATAAACATTGTGATGCCAGTGCCATAGCCAGTATATATATTCTAGTATATAAACATCTAGTGATAAACATGTGCCAGTGTCAGTGCTATATTCTAGTATATATCCTAACATTTCTAGTATTAAATCCCCCCCAAGCCTAGATTATATTCTAGTATACAACCTTTGCCAGTATTCTAGTATACTTGTGGACACCATGCCAGTATTATATTCTAGTATATGTAATGTGACCTGTGCTAGGGCTGTATTCTAGTATATATTTAAACATTATGACCCATGCCAGAGCTATATTTCAGTAGACAAATACATTGTTACATATGCCAGAACTATATTCTACTATACAAACCTTGTGACCCATGTCAGAGCTACATACTAGTATACAAACCTTGTGACCCATGTCAGAGCTACATACTAGTATACAAACATTGTGACCTATGTAAGATGATATTCTAGTCTACAAACATTGTGACCCATGTCAGAGCTGTATTCTAGGATATAAACATTATGACCCTTGCTAGTGCTATATTCTAGTAAACAAACACTGATCTCTGGAGGTGCTATATTTTTGTATACAAATAATGTGATCCTTGCCAGTGCTATATTCTAGTATACAAACACTATGATCCTTGCCAGTGCTATATTATAGTATACAAACACTATGATCCTTGCCAGTGCTATATTATAGTATACAAACACTATGATCCTTGCCAGTGCTATATTCTAGTATACAAACACTATGATCCTTGCCAGTGATATATTCTAGTATACAAACACTATGATCCTTGCCAGTGATATATTCTAGTATACAAACACTATGATCCTTGCCAGTGATATATTCTAGTGTACAAACACTATGATCCTTGGCAGTGCTATATTCTAGTATACAAACACTATGATCCTTGCCAGTGCTATATTCTAGTATACAAACACTATGATCCTTGGCAGTGCTGTATTCTAGTACACAAACACTGATTCTTGCCAGTGCTATAATTTTCTATATAGACACTGTGATACATACCAGTGCTATATTCTAGAATACAAACGTGACCCATTCCAGTCCTTTATTCTAGTATACAAACACTGATCTATGCCACTGCTTTTTTCTAGTATACAAACACCGTAACCAATGCCAGTGCTATATTCTAGTATACAAACACTGTGATCAATGCCAGTGCTATATTCTAGTATACAAACACTGTGACCTATGCCACTGCCTTATTCTATTATACAAACACTGAGACCTATGCCAGTGCTTTATTATTGTATAGGTATACTGTGATCCTCGCTAGTGTCATATTTACTATGATCTCAAACATGCTAATATTTTAGTCACACGTACTGTGACCTTCACTAGAGCTATATAAAAATATAAAAGTGAAGGACCGTTTTCTCATTAGTGGTACATATGAACATGATGATGACTGTTGAGCTGAGGATTTCACATGCAATGTGTATTTTTTTTTTCTGTTGCACCCACAGCATATTGTTGACTTCACTAAAATGGTGGGTGGTTGATTACATTCAGAATGGCGTGTACTTCTGTGGATGCATTAATGGCTTTCATGATTGACTGTTTATGCTAGATGTCAGCTGTAGTTCTGATGTGGGACTGTTGGTGTTGCTGCATCCAACAGAAGCCTTATGCAGTTTTACTTTACATGTGCAAGTTCAAAGATTTTGTTGGTACTTACAAGATTTCCCTAATTTTTAAAAGGGACAGTGAAGGATATGTTGTGTCCAGTGGCACAGAAAGAGATCAGTTATGGGGTGAACATCTGCAATGATGTTTGAACCTGACTAGCTAGACAGCTAAATGACTGACTGACTGACTAACTAACTGACTAACTAATTAACTAGCTAACTAACTAAATGTCTGGCTGACTGACTTACTCACTAACCAATTAACTAGCTAACTAACTAAATGTCTGGCTGACTGACTTACTCACTAACCAATTAAATAGCTAACTAACTAAATGTCTGGCTGACTGACTAACTGACTAACTAATTAACTAGCTAACTAACTAAATGTCTGGCTGACTGACTTACTCACTAACCAATTAACTAGCTAACTAACTAAATGACAGACTGACTGACTAACTGACTAACTAACTACCTAGCTAACTAACTAAATGACAGACTGACTGACTAACTGACTAACTAACTACCTAGCTAACTAACTAAATGTCTGGCTGACTGACTTACTCACTAACCAATTAACTAGCTAACTAACTAAATGACAGACTGACTGACTAACTGACTAACTAACTACCTAGCTAACTAACTAAATGACAGACTGACTGACTAACTGACTAACTAATTAACTAGCTAACTAACTAAATGACAGACTGACTGACTAACTGACTAACTAATTAACTAGCTAACTAACTAAATGTCTGGCTGACTGACTTACTCACTAACCAATTAACTAGCTAACTAACTAAATGACAGACTGACTAACTACCTAGCTAACTAACTAAATGTCTGGCTGACTGACTTACTCACTAACCAATTAACTAGCTAACTAACTAAATGACAGACTGACTGACTAACTGACTAACTAATTAACTAGCTAACTAACTAAATGACAGACTGACTGACTAACTAATTAACTAGCTAACTAACTAAATGTCTGGCTGACTGACTTACTCACTAACCAATTAACTAGCTAACTAACTAAATGACAGACTGACTGACTAACTGACTAACTAACTACTAGCTAACTAACTAAATGTCTGGCTGACTGACTTACTCACTAACCAATTAACTAGCTAACTAACTAAATGACTGACTGACTGACTAACTGACTAACTAATTAACTAGCTAACTAATAAATGACAGACTGACTGACTAACTGACTAACTAATTAACTAGCTAACTAACTAAATGACAGACTGGCTGACTAACTGACTAACTAATTAACTAGCTAACTAACTAAATGTCTGGCTGACTGACTTACTCACTAACCAATTTACTAGCTAACTAACTAAATGACAGACTGACTGACTAACTGACTAACTAATTAACTAGCTAACTAACTAAATGTCTGGCTGACTGACTAACTGACTAACTAATTAACTAGCTAACTAACTAAATGTCTGGCTGACTGACTTGCTCACTAACCAATTAACTAGCTAACTAACTAAATGACAGACTGACTGACTAACTGACTAACTAATTAACTAGCTAACTAACTAAATGGCTGGCTGACTGACTAACTCACTAACTAATTAATTAACTAACAAACTAAATGTCTGGCTGACTGACTGACTAACTCACTAACTAATTAACTAACTAACTAACTTAATGGCTGGCTGACTGACTAACTCACTAACTAATTAACTAACTAACTAACTAAATGTCTGGCTGACTGACGAACTCACTAACTAATTAACTAACTAACTAAATGCCTGGCTGACTGACTAACTAAGTAGGTAGCTAACTAAGTAACTATCTAACTAACTAAATGGCTGGCTGACTGACTAACTCACTAACTAATTAACTAACTAACTATATGGCTGGCTGACTGACTAACTAAGTAGGTAGCTAACTAAGTAACTAACTAACTAACTAGCTAACTAAATGGCTGGCTGACTGACTAACTCACTAACTAATTAACTAACTAACTAAATGGTTGGCTGACTGACTAACTAAGTAGGTAGCTAACTAAGTAACTATCTAACTAAATGGCTGGCTGACTGACTAACTCACTAACTAATTAACTAACTAACTAACTAACTAACTAAATGGCTGGCTGACTGACTGACTGACTGACTGACTGACTGACTGACTGACTAACTAACTAACTAACCAACTATATTCTGGAATAGACAATTGAATGACAAAGGTACATATAATGTGAGTTGGTTGGCACTGCAGGAGTTATCAAATACCTGTTGCAACTTCATCTCCACCAAAATGATAGACTTTCAATGGTTGAATTGCTCTATGAATCTCTGAGACTTGCTTGTACACTTCAGAAATAAACCTGAAAATTGGTCACACATCAAATGGAAGTTATATTTGTTATTACAGATGTTGAAAACAAATTATGTAGGAAAACATAACAAATTAACAAATGATATTTATACAGTCTTGCTAGACTTGCCATCGCCATGGGCTGTGAGTCCCATGCCACCTCATAGTGCAATATAACACTATGGTCTGGAAAGACAGAAGGGTGCCACTCAATTTATACAGAGACTGATGGACCTCTTCCTCCTTCGGGTTCTGGGGCCCTTCTTTGGGAGAAAACAAAAAGAGAATAGACCCCTTTGCCCCCTAACAAGCATGTCATAAAAGACAAGTAATTACGGATGTATCATTTAAAGTCATGGTGCATCTGCCTGAGAGGTGAGGAACTAACAGTCTGCACACAAGTAAGCCATATTTTAGTCCTAACTGCTTATGTGCATGACAAATTGATTAGTTTGTCCCCTTTGGAATGTTACTGAAGGTTTACCAAATCATTCGGAGATTTATAAAAATCTCAATCGGGATTGCAAACCAGAGTTGAGTTGAGTTAAGTTAAGAATTGACATCACAGAAGTCTGGGCATTCCAATATTCACGCCGAGCTTATCTTCAGCAGCCAGCACAGAGTACCAATACTAATGGTACCAGTCGAAGTCTGGTTATATGTCCATCCTACATTTTCTTTGAGTGAAGTCAGCCAGCTAGACTATCTGGTCACACCCAGGTGCATCATTCTCTCCAGGCCATAATAATCCAGTTTCTCTTCTGACTTCATTTCTTGATCTCAAAGGGCTCTTACCACATCTACCTTGTCATGTATCAGTTCACCACCCAATGGTGCAGATCCAGCCAATCTGTTTGCCTGTTGATTCCCCACCATGCTGGCATGGCCTGTGACTACCCATGACCTTCCAAGTGAAACTTGCCACTCTGCTTGAAGCAACCCTATCTTCACCTTTCTCAGCATGCTTTCAGAGTCTGATACAGTTATGACATGTGTATGCATCTTGTTCTCTAGCCACAAGAAAGCTGCAGTGACCACCTCCACTTCAATTCTCATGCTAGATGTTGTGGTATCATGAGCTAGGCTGTCCTGCACTTAAGATTTTCCATTGGCTTTTGCTACGAACCCCCAGACAGACACTTCTCTTCCCTCTCAGCAGACCAGTATGACAGATTCTAGATACCCTGTTTAACTTCCCAACATGTTATAATTAGGGCAACTATAATGATTAATATGGCGTGAAATGCAGTCTTATGTGGACAAGAATGTAATGATCTCCTGATGTCATTCTGCCATTTCCATCATCATTATCATCTATCAAACTATGCAGAATGTTGCTCTCATCACTGCAGACCAAAAAGCCACTTGGTTTCTTGCTAACTGTCCCTCTTTGTGCTCTTTTACATCCTGAGTGTCATGTATATCACTTTACTGGGAAGGTCACGGGTAGTGAACATACTTTGGATCTTTTCTCCAGGACTATGCCTGCGTGGTGGGTAATAAACAGGCAGACAGATTGGCTGGATCAGCACCACTGGGTGGTGAATTGATATATGACATGGCAAATGTGGTCAAGGCCCTTTGGGAACAAGCAATGAAATCAGAAGAGTTAGATGATTATTATGGCCTGGAGAAAATGAGGCATTTGGGTGTAAGCACAGGGTTTGGCCAGCTCACTTCACTCAGAGGAAAGGCAAGACAGACATATAACCCGATTGTGACCAGTACCATCAGTATAGGAACTCTGCGCTGGCTGCTGAAGATGAGGACGGTGCATGCATGGGAATGCCCCGAGTGCTGTGATGTCAATTCTTGACTCAACGCAACTCAACTCAATCCAATCTTCCCAGGCATTTACCCCTCCATTATTGTTCTCTCTAAATTGTCGGGACGTTTCAAGTGACCAACATAATTCAATTTTCTGTGTTTTATCGTCTTTGCCCCGAGTGCTGTAATGTCAATTCTTGACTTAACTCAACTCAAGTATATCAGAAGTCCACTGTGTCATTTATATCTGACTAGATGTACCCGGCCACACATTTCTGTGGCATAGTTTGCCTAATTTGAAAAGAAATAAAATATAAATTGCACGTGTCTAATATGGTTACTGTTGCAATCATTGACTGCGCACATACAGAGATAGCCCATCGATGCCCCCCCCCCTTCCCAAATCCACCTACTTCTTGCTCCCTCATTAAAGGCTTTTGGAAAAGAAAGACAATTAAAATCGCACATGTCTAATATAGTTAATGTCGCAATCATTTTCTGCACAGATATAGAGATAGTCTGGTTTGCCACTTTAGAACACGCAACATATAATTGCGTCTTCATATTAGTGATCGTTTACATGTTATTATTAGCACAGTAAAAAAAAATGGTTATTTGGTTATCACATGCTAAAGCTGTTCGTATTTTTTTATGAGACACAAGTAAAGCTTACTACTGTACTTGTAAATAACCAAGTAAGTCGTTAAAAAAAATGAGAATAGCGGAGGTAGCGTTAGTAAAATATAAACAAATTAAGAAATGAAAACTTTAAAATAATGCGTTAAGCTCTTTAAGTTAACAATTTCTGTCATCACCCCATGCCCTCCCCCATCCATCAAATACTGCTCTCTCCCTCATCAAAGGATTTGAAAGTCATCAGCTGACAATATTTTTTGTAACTGACGTTGATACACCTGTCCATCCGGACTAAAAAAAGGGAGCAGTAATTGTAATGAGTAGTAAATGCGGCTAGTGTAATATTTACCACACTATCCTTCAAGTACAACTACTACCACCACCACCCCCACAATAACTAAAATAATGTCACTGCTATCTGTTTTACCGTTGGAGTAGACAGGGAGTCGTGAGCCAGAGGATTTGGCGCCGCAAGGCTAATGCTGTCGGCATGGACTGGTCAGGTTAGGATGTGTAATTTCGCTCTCGAACAGAAAAATGCCATCACCTTACCGGCGGTCTCCGGCATGACAGCACTACGGTGTAACCGCCCAATCACAACTACTACTACTGCTACTTTGAGTGGGTAAGGCTGTTACTTTGACTTAAAGCTCTTTCAGTTACCAGTTTATGCTACCCTCTCCCCTTCCTCCCTCCCAATTCACCGACTACTCTTTCCTTCATCGAAGTAGTTTAGAGAAAAAACCAAATGAATTGCAATGAAAACAGGAAAAATACGCCATAATTATGAAATGAACGCTATGATAAACAACACAGCCTAATTCCAACACAATGTCAGAAGAAATAATTAAATCGAAATGAAAATAAATGGAAATCTATGAAAATTCAGCGTAACCATGCAATCGGAAAGTTTGAAATGAAATCATAAGTATGCGAAATGGTCAAATTTAATTATCAACTGGTTTACCCACATACCTGTATTTTAAAAAAAATATTATTTATGGCCCCATGGCTAGTGCTGTCGCCACGACAGAGCAGGTCTGGGTTTTATTTTGCCCCTGGGTAAAAAAAAGGAAACTGCTGTATTGGGGATTCGAATCCTTGTCTCCCACACGGGAACCCAGTGTACTAACCATTTGTCCAGCCAATCACTGCTTCTGAACAACGAAAAGAGAACAAAACTACGCAAGATGTGTGCCCCGATTCTAACACAACTCAAAACCGCAGGCAATTGTTTTCTCATAAATAGATATGCCAAATATAAACTTCAAGTATTATTGAAACTGCAGAATAATAGAAATCGTACGTGTCTAACATGGTAAATGTCGCAATCATTGTCTGCGTAGACATAGATTGCCCCCACCTTCTCTTTCCCTTTCTTAAATCCACCGACTACTCTCTAAATCATAGAAGGTTGTTTGAAAAGAAAGAAAATATAAATCGTGTCTAACATGGTTAATGTCGCAATCAGCGATATAGAGATAGTCTGGTTTGCTGTACGGGCGGGTGTTAAAAATAGAGTGTCCCGTGTCTACTGCACATGCACTGTGAAAGTCGATTGTGCATGCACATTTACTAATGTGGCTATAATTAAATGTAAATAAATAAAAATAATGTAAATGTATGTAAATAATACAAATGGAAATATTAGTATCAAAGATTTTTCCAACAAATGTGGTCACCTATATCTAACAATGACAGGTAAAATTTCAAACCATGATGGGTAAACATCCGATATCAAAACAAACATATTCTTTAAATCTCAGCTAAATCGGTTCCGTAGTTTCCGAGTCTATAGCTCATAAACAAACACACAAACATTGATTTTTATATATATAGATGTCCACAATCACATTCAAGTGATTCCTCGAATATGAAAGTACACATGGCGTGAGAGCTGGCGAGAGACCGAGTTTTTTTCAGGCAGACCATGAGGAGATTGACATTCTGCAAAGGACCTGCTACATGATGATGAGTCCCTAAAGAACAAAAAAAGAAATCATTAAGAACATGCATAAATAATAGAAAATGTACATACCTATAGGTGCTCTCAATGCAAGGGTTAACTGCATTATCTGTATAGTACTGGACAGAAAAATAGTACGAAGTGTCAGCTGGATCATCTAGTAGATAATCACCTGATTTAATCTGGTTACCTGAAAGAACATACCCTATAAATATGAATTACAACAGATATAACAAGATCATAACACCTACATAATATGACATTAAATAATAATAAACAATAATAATATTTGCATAAATTGTGAACCCCTCACCAATGAACTCACACCCATTTTTATTTACCTATTATTTATCAATACCACACACACACTCACGCATGCAGGCACGCACGCACACACACACATTCATGGACAGGAACAACTCATGAAGTCAGGCCCAGAAAGAGAGCCACTTCCCTTGCCATTCATCCCTGCTTCTGTCGTAGGGCCTGTCCTATGGTGTCCATTACCACAAGGTATTTTACAAATTGTCACAGGCTGCATGCAATCGTGGGATGTAGGCTGAACACTCTCTTGTGGGACATAGGCTGAGGCTGTTCTTCTTCTTCTGCGTTCGACATCAGTCATGCTAAACATTGAGTCCTGTCTGGGTCACAAATAGGATTGTGCATTTAAAGTCGCCACCGGTCCCCCATAGCTTCTCTTGCAATGTGGCTCCCTTGGGCCAGATCCACAGTCTTTGCTGGGAGAGGTTAAGGCAGTACTGTAGTATGTGCCCAGGGGTCTGTCTTTCTGCTCCACAATCACAGGCAGCAGATTCTTTTATGCCTATCCTGCACAGGTGTGCTCAAAGATCACAGTGTCCAGTCCGAAGTCTTAAAATTGTTGTTTGTTCTTTCCTGTTAAGTTTGTTTATGCTGTCACTCTCTGGTCTGTAATCTCCATTCTGCTTTCTCCACTCCCGCTTGAAAGACTGCTTTAGCGCTGTTTTGGTTTCCTTGTAGCTGTGTGGTGGATGAGGTTGTGGAAGATTATTCCCAGCTTTTGCCAACTCATCTGCTCTCTCATTTCCTTGAATACCACAGTGGGCTGGTATTCACTGCAAGACCAGTTCTGTTTCCTTGGAGAGTAAGCCAATGTTGGTACTTAGATCTGCAATTAGTTTGTCTTGTGTTTTGCTTGATAGTGCTTGGAGAACAGACAATGAGTCACTAAGTAGGCTGAGGCTGTGGCAGAGGGAGGGGGGGGGGGGGTTTCGGTTAGGGCCAGTTCGACATGTTTTGGGACCGTTAGAAGCACTCACATGGTGGAAAATAGACCACATGATATCGCCGGCTGGTGACAACATCGCATACAATTTGTTGCCGTGCTGGATGCTCACTAAGTATGCCACCCCCGCAACATAGGACAAGCCCTATGACATGACCAGAGATGAATGGCAAGGGAAGTCACCCTCTTTTTGGGCCCGAGTTCATGAGTTGTACCCATGGACATGTTGTTCAATACCCGAGTCCAGTTTTTTACCGGGATCTTTGGAGTTTATTGCTGGAGCTATGGAGTTCATGCTCTGTGTGAAACTCTGTGCAGACAGCTAGTCATTCTGCAGGGAAAGATTGAGCTATACAGATTTAAAAACACATGGTGCTTTTTTGCAAGTGGAGTACTGGCATTGTCACAATCTAGAATATAACACTGCTGAGAATGTATCTTATGGGCTCTCTCTCTTTTAATTTACCTCGATATCAATACAGTTTTATCTGAAGCCTTTTGAGTTACATTCCTTTACATAACCACTGCAGACTGCCCATAAGAACTCTCTCCTTCACTTCCTGTCCAGCACACATATCCTAAAACAACACATGCACACGGGTGTGTCTACTGTTCCAGCCAGTTATGGAGATTTTGTGACAGATAAGTGAATTTATGTATTGTTGTTTGAAACAGTATCATTGCCTGTTTCCGCGCCTGATATGGCCGAAATTCAGTTGTTGAGAAAAGATGCTGTTTACTAGACAATCTTCCTTGATGTTAAAATCTTTTAGGATATCTTTATTTCTTTCTGTCTTTGTCAATGCTATTCTGAGAATCTTTCTATAGCATTTCAGCTGAAAATCTTAAATCTTCTTCCGTAAGAACTGCGAGATAGTCCATGGCTCACATCCATTGTTGCTACAGGAAAGATGCATTAACTTTGATTTGTTTGCTTGTGCTTAACTGTAGACTTCTAATGCTGTAGGTTATATTGCTGTCAGTGGATCAATAATGTATGATTATATGCTACACTGTAGTGTCTACCCTGATAATAGAAAACAAAATTTAACTGCATATTTTTACTAATCAGGAAACAGATATTACACCAAAAGCAGAATAAATAAATTCAGCCTTAACCCTTTCGCTGCTGCGCCCAACAAAGGCCAACGTAACCACTGTGCTGAGCCAGGCGAGAGCTAACCTTTCCTCCTGTTCTGAATACCTTTCTCGCCTACAAAAGCAGAAGATGCTCTTGCGGCGCGGGGTAAAAATCGTACACCTAAAATAAAAACTCTTTTGAAGCGCATGGTTAACCTTTGCGCTGACAAGTCCGACGCGCTTGGGCTACACCATGAAAACATTAACAAAAATAAAACACTATAAACTTACAAAGCAAACACAAAACACTTTGTAAGCAAATACATGTTTTTTTATTATTATTAATATCTTTTTGTGTAAAATATTTCAAAACAAGGTGCGACACACAATGCCAAATCACAGTCCTTGCACATGTATCTGGGTTTCCCGTCATTTTTTGCTTTCTGCGCATACCACACACTTACTTGTTGGGAATTTCTTCTGTGATGTTATAGACTCTATTATTGAAGGGAAATGCCTTTGTACTAAACGAAGTGGCAGATCTTCACTTTTTTTGTCCTCCATCATTTGTTCTCTTTTCCTTGCAATATTTCTGTAGACTTTCTCTTACTAACATTAAGTGAAATTGGGAAACAGGAATGTTTTTCCACACAAATGAACAGTATACCAACCATGCCTCACAAAGCAACAGGATAATGTGTAACACATGTAAATGCAGGTGACATGATGTTTAATTAATTATTACTTCTGTGATCTGTTGCCAAAAGAGCTAAGAGCTTAAATTTAGAATTTACATTTAAAATTATAATAATTAAAAAGAAAAATACGGCATGCAGGAATTGAACGCGTACCCTTCGATTGCAAGGTAAGTGTGATACCAACTACGCTAGAAATTTATATGTAAATTGGTACCGAAAATAGGACTAGTATTGTGCACTTTGATAGACAGACACAGTTTTGTCAGTTGTATAGTATATTAGACACATTAGTATTAATTATCATGTCAGTACCTGACCATATCTTCATTTTGATTATTGGTGATTCATTTCAAATCCAGTCAATGTAGATAGCTGGGTCATATGGTCAGTCTTGCTCACGGCTAGAAGTACACGTGTCCGACGGCATGCCGCGAAGATAGCCCAGCTCATATAACTCAAAACGTTTCAAAGTGATCCTTACTATTACTCCTCGAAACAAACTCCAATAATTCTTCATTAACTATAATTAACCAATTTTCTTGTTATTTTGTATTTTAAAAAAAAAAAGGAGACTAACGCAAAACTAGATATATATTTTAGGGCAAAAAAATTACTGTTCACCGACCATGCCTCCATGGTAACAAAGCAACAGGATAACGTGAAATGCATCTAAATACACCTAAACGAACGTGATAAGGGTTTTAATTGTATGTAAATGGGTCAGTTTGATCAAATTTAGGTAATGTATATTTCCATTTCACCCCCAAGAATTACTGTTATTAGCAATCTGTACAAAAATTAGAGGACGAGCTATCTCGTCCTTAGCACTGAGGGCACAGAAAATGGAAGACGAGTTAACTCGTCCTTAGCAGTCTACCGGGTAGACGAGTTATCTTGTCCATAGCAGCGAAAGGGTTAAATTATCACTAATAACAACAACAACAACAAAACAACAAACATCTTACTTCTTTGACTGTGTAGAATCCACTCCCACTGCTTTGGTCATCAGCACCAGAACCTAATGTAGACATTACACACTCCCGCTCTTCCAGGTCATGGCATCGCCGTCCTCCAATCTGAGAGTTGGATTGTACATAATGTTTATCACTTAGTAAACATGACACTTGCAGCATGACTTAGAGCACAAGGCAATCTCAATCAGTACCAGAACCTCATGTAGACATCACACATTCCCGCTCGTCCAGGTCATGACATCGCCGTCCTCCAATCTGAGAGTTGTATTGTCCATATTGTTTATTACTTAGTAAATATGACACTTACAGCATGACTTAGAGCATAAGGCTATCTCAGTCAGCACAAAGAGACATCTCATACAAATCATATTCATTCCCATCCTATGCTACCAGTGCCAGACTCACAACAAAACATTGTATATTGTCTGTCTTTTATCATCTCTAGCTTTCATACTCTCAAAATGTCACTTTCCCTGTACAAATATTCCATTCCCAACAAGGTCTTAAGAATGTTGTGACAACTAGGAAGACCCATGGTTTCAGAAGCAGAAGCTAACAAAAGAAGAAAATGCAGAGTAGGTCAGCAGAGTGGAAAGGAAAGATGATCATTAACTGTGTATACTAGAAATATAAAAGACAGGCATGTTTGAGAAGATATATAATTGTCTGCGCCTCTCAACATGGCACATGATGATGATATGTATTTACTGACTTTCTGTGTTCATAACTATACTTGGTGAGCTCCTTATCTACTGACTTTCTATGTTCACAACTATACCTTGGTGAGCTTCTCATCTACTGACTTTCTGTGTTCACAACTATACCTTTGTGAGCTCCTCCTCTACTGACTTTCTGTGTTCACAACTATACCTTGGTGAGCTCTTCATCTACTGACTTTCTGTGTTCACAACTATACCTTGGTGAGCTCCTCATCTACTGACTTTCTGTGTTCACAACTATACCTTGGTGAGCTCTTCATCTACTGACTTTCTGTGTTCACAACTATACCTTGGTGAGCTTCTCATCTACTGACTTTCTGTGTTCACAACTATACCTTGGTGAGCTCCTCATCTACTGACTTTCTGTGTTCACAACTATACCTTGGTGAGCTCCTCATCTACTGACTTTCTGTGTTCACAACTATACCTTGGTGAGCTCCTAATGTACTGACTTTCTGTGTTCACAACTATACCTTGATGAGCTCCTAATGTACTGACTTTCTATGTTCACAACTATACCTTGGTGAGCTTCTCATCTACTGACTTACTGTGTTCACAACTATACCTTGGTGAGCTCCTAATGTACTGACTTTCTGTGTTCACAACTATACCTTGATGAGCTTCTCATCTACTGACTTTCTGTGTTTACAACTAAACCTTGGTGAGCTCCTTATCTACTGACTTTCTGTGTTCACAACTATACCTTGGTGAGCTCTTCATCTACTGACTTTCTGTGTTCACAACTATACCTTGGTGAGCTCTTCATCTACTGACTTTCTGTGTTCACAACTATACCTTGGTGAGCTTCTCATCTACTGACTTTCTGTGTTCACAACTATACCTTGGTGAGCTCTTCATCTACTGACTTTCTGTGTTCACAACTATACCTTGATGAGCTTCTCATCTACTGACTTTCTGTGTTTACAACTAAACCTTGGTGAGCTCCTTATCTACTGACTTTCTGTGTTCACAACTATACCTTGGTGAGCTCTTCATCTACTGACTTTCTGTGTTCACAACTATACCTTGGTGAGCTTCTCATCTACTGACTTTCTGTGTTCACAACTATACCTTGGTGAGCTTCTCATCTACTGACTTTCTGTGTTCACAACTATACCTTGGTGAGCTTCTCATCTACTGACTTTCTATGTTCACAACTATACCTTGGTGAGCTCTTCATCTACTGACTTTCTGTGTTCACAACTATACCTTGGTGAGCTTCTCATCTACTGACTTTCTGTGTTCACAACTATACCTTGGTGAGCTCCTCATCTACTGACTTTCTGTGTTCACAACTATACCTTGGTGAGCTCCTCAAGACCTGGTATCTCCAGCCTCCATCCCTCGTCATCAGAAAGATGAAAGTGAAGCTTATTCAGCTTGTACAGGGACATCACTTTTAACAGTTTCAGAATAGTTGTCTTCGGCTGTGAACAAAAATGTACTTTGGTTTGCATTTTAAACCCATCATATAAGTCTACCCCTAGTTTTGGACAGATTTTTGTTCAGTTTTGAAAACTTGGACTTATAGAGTGTAATTCATGGTAAGTAGGGAGTGGTGAGGCTGATGTGAAACTGGAAAGTGGCCATTGTGGATAGCTGTTTGTAGACACACCAGAGGAAAGCTTTCTACATTGAGCTTTCTTGCTTATTTCTATTGCTTTACTGGTGTAACCTCTCCTGCCCTGTTGATCTTGGGGCAAAAGGATTTGAAAGTATTCCTGATAACTATCTGAGGTTCTTTTTCCATCTGCCTGTGAGGCAAGGAACTAGCAATCTGCATACAAATAAATCAGATCTGTAAAGTGGATGTGCACGCAAAACTCAGGTTCTGGAACAAGACTAAAGTCCAGAAGTGGACAAACAGCCATAATTTTCTGCCAGAGTTTACAACCGGTGAAAGCAAAACAGAAGAAAAGTATTCTTCTATGATTAGGGTTTCAAATTACAGGTAAATGACATGTGTGACTCTATTTAGTTTTAACAGATGTTATTTTTTTTTATTACAGCCTAATTTTATTTACTGGTAGACCTAAGTTTTCAGTGACTGATATCCTGCTGTATGTTTAGGGGTCAGCCTGTGTGTTGGATATAAGTCTAACTCACAATTTGGAGCTACAGATCATAAGGTCATCTTGTATGTGCAATTAGTGGTAATTATAATCACTGAATAGCGTTAAATGGGTGCCAGATGGAGTCCTGGGAAGTAAAGGTGGCCGGCGTGATGCTGACAAAATCACCCACCAAGTGCCAATTGGTCAATCAAATATATGTCTAGCCCTATTTGCCCAGTACACCTGAAGTCACGGAAAAGGGTCCTTTACTTTTACTTTACTTTACTTATAAACACTAAATCCCACCAGATGATGGTCTAAGATGCTGGTTTAAAGCAACAATTTTTTTAGATGTGTGTTTTCAAATCCCACCACTGCCAATTTTTGGCGGGTCTCTGTTCTACAGTGGTCAAGCTGTTTGCCTTGCACTCTGAAGGATATTGGTTTATTTCACAGCGGCACTGCTCAATTCATGAGTGCAGTTTTTACGGAGATTCCTGGCAATTTTGCTTAGAGCTACAGAGCTGGCTAGCCACTCTGGCGAAGAGAGACCGAACCACACATGATAAAATATAGTGCAATGAAGCTGATCCTCTCATCTTTAACCTTTAAGCTTTACACAAATATATCTTTTTTCATAAAGTAGTAAATCTTCTTTTTTCCATGCTTAAAGAATTTTGGGAATACGAAATGGAAGAATGTGAGATATGATGCCAAACCATGATGATGATGATAAGACATAACTTACAATAAAGTTTCTGGCTGTGTCCACATGCATGCCTCTGTAGGTAAACCTGGGCCAGTCCTCCACTTGGCTGTCTGGTATTGAGCCTTCAGGACTGGATTTCAGAGCCATCTGTATAAGTGTCACAGCTGGGGAAGAGACAATGTAAGCTTATGTCACAGCTGGGGGAAAAACAATGGCAGTTTATGTCACAACAGGGAGAGAAACAATGTCACTTTAAGTCACAACTGGGGAAGAAACAACAATGTCAGTTTATGTCACAACTGGGGGAAAAACAATGTCAGTTTATGTCACAACTGAGGGAGAAACAATGTCAGTTTATGTCACAACTGGGGAAGAAACAACAATGTCAGTTTATGTCACAACTGGGGGAGAAACAATGTGAGTTTAGGTCACAACTGGAAGAGGTGGGGGAGCCGTAGTTTAAGTTCATTCATAGCTGGGGGAGAAACAAGGCAAGTTTATGTCACAACTGGGGAAGAAATAACAATGTCAGTTTATGTCACAACTGGGGAAGAAATAACAATGTCAGTTTATGTCACAACTGGGGAAGAAATAACAATGTCAGTTTATGTCACAACTGGGGAAGAAATAACAATGTCAGTTTATGTCACAACTGGGGGAGAAACAATGTCAGTTTATGTCACAACTGGGGAAGAAATAACAATGTCAGTTTATGTCACAACTGGGGCAGAAACAATGTCAGTTTATGTCACAACTGGGGAAGAAATAACAATGTCAGTTTATGTCACAACTGGGGAAGAAATAACAATGTCAGTTTATGTCACAACTGGGGAAGAAATAACAATGTCAGTTTATGTCACAACTGGGGAAGAAATAACAATGTCAGTTTATGTCACAACTGGGGAAGAAATAACAATGTCAGTTTATGTCACAACTGGGGGAGAAACAATGTCAGTTTATGTCACAACTGGAAGAGGTGGGGGAGCCGTAGTTTAAGTTCATTCATAGCTGGGGGAGAAACAAGGCAAGTTTATGTCACAACTGGGGGAGAAATAACAATGTCAGTTTATGTCACAACTGGGGAAGAAATAACAATGTCAGTTTATGTCACAACTGGGGAAGAAATAACAATGGCAGTTTATGTCACAACTGGGGGAGAAACAATGTCAGTTTATGTCACAACTGGGGAAGAAATAACAATGGCAGTTTATGTCACAACTGGGGGAGAAACAATGTCAGTTTATGTCACAACTGGGGGAGAAACAATGTCAGTTTATGTAACAACTGGGGCAGAAACAATGTCAGTTTATGTCACAACTGGGGGAGAAACAATATCAGTTTATGTCACAACTGGGGGAGAAACAATATCAGTGTATGTCACAACTGGGGGAGAAACAATATCAGTGTATGTCACAACTGGGGGAGAAACAATGTCAGTGTATGTCACAACTGGGGAAGAAATAACAATGTCAGTTTATGTCACAACTGGGGAATAAATAACAATGTCAGTTTATGTCACAACTGGGGGAAAAACAATGTCAGTTTATGTCACAACTGGGGGAGAAACAATATCAGTTTATGTCACAACTGGGGGAGAAACAATATCAGTGTATGTCACAACTGGGGGAGAAACAATATCAGTGTATATCACAACTGGGGGAGAAACAATATCAGTGTATGTCACAACTGGGGGAGAAACAATATCAGTGTATGTCACAACTGGGGGAGAAAAACAACTGGGGTAGAAACAATATCAGTGTATGTCACAACTGGGGGAGAAACAATATCAGTGTATGTCACAACTGGGGGAGAAACAATATCAGTGTATGTCACAACTGGGGGGAGAAAACAATGTCAGTGTATGTCACAACTGGGGGAGAAACAATAATCAGTGTATGTCACAACTGGGGGAGAAACAATATCAGTGTATGTCACAACTGGGGGAGAAACAATATCAGTGTATGTCACAACTGGGGAGAAACAATATCAGTGTATGGTCACAACTGGGGGAGAAACAATATCAGTGTATGTCACAACTGGGGGAGAAACAATATCAGTGTATGTCACAACTGGGGCAGAAACAATATCAGTGTATGTCACAGCTGGGGGAGAAACAATATCAGTGTATGTCACAACTGGGGGAGAAACAATATCAGTGTATGTCACAACTGGGGCAGAAACAATGTCAGTTTATGTCACAACTGGGGGAGAAACAATATCAGTGTATGTCACACAACTGGGGGAGAACAATATCAGTGTATGTCACAACTGGGGGAGAAACAATATCAGTTGTATGTCACAACTGGGGGAGAAAACAATATCAGTGTATGTCACAACTGGGGGAGAAACAATATCAGTGTATGTCACAACTGGGGGAGAAACAATATCAGTGTATGTCACAACTGGGGGAGAAACAATATCAGTGTATGTCACAACTGGGGGAGAAACAATATCAGTGTATGTCACAACTGGGGGAGAAACAATATCAGTGTATGTCACAACTGGGGGAGAAACAATATCAGTGTATGTCACAACTGGGGAGAAACAATATCAATATCAGTGTATGTCACAACTGGGGGAGAAACAATATCAGTGTATGTCACAACTGGGGGAGAAACAATATCAGTGTATGTCACAACTGGGGGAGAAACAATATCAGTGTATGTCAAACTGGGGGAGAAACAATATCAGTGTATGTCACAACTGGGGGAGAAACAATATCAGTGTATGTCACAACTGGGGGGAGAAACAATATCAGTGTATGTCACAGCTGGGGGAGAAAACAATATCAGGTGTATGTCACAACTGGGGGAGAAACAATATCAGTGTATGTCACAGCTGGGGGAGAAACAATATCAGTGTATGTCACAACTGGGGGAGAAAAACAATATCAGTGTATGTCACAAACTGGGGAGAAACAATATCAGTTTATGTCACAACTGGGGGAGAAACAATATCAGTGTATGTCACAACTGGGGGAGAAACAATATCAGTTTATGTCACAACTGGGGGAGAAACAATATCAGTTTATGTCACAACTGGGGGAGAAACAATATCAGTTTATGTCACAACTGGGGGAGAAACAATATCAGTTTATGTCACAACTGGGGGAGAAAAATATCAGTTTATGTCACAACTGGGGGGAGAAACAATATCAGTTTATGTCACAACTGGGGGAGAAACAATATCAGTTTATGTCACAAACTGGGGGAGGAAACAATATCAGTTTATGTCACAACTGGGGGGAGAAAC